TCTTCTTTAGTTTGGCAGCTCAACTTCAGTGGATGTTAACACGTTTTCTTCCTAGATCCTTATTTGATTTTGTCTCTTCACACTAAAATGAAGTTACTTTTACTTATTTTTGGCATGAATGGAACCCTTCAGCTTCCTCTAGCTCCAGCCGTTCGATGAAGTTGTTGCTCTTTCGGAGTTTGGCCAAGTTTGTCCTGTTTTTGCAGCCGTCCCTGGAGATGACGGGGACGTTCAAGATGAAGAAGGTGAAGCTGGTGGAGGACGGATTCAACCCCGCGCTCATCAGCGACCCGCTTTACTTCCTGGACCCGGACCAGAAGACGTACGTCCCTCTGACGGAGGAGATCCACGGCGCCATCGCTGCAGGGAAAATGAAGCTCTAACAGAAACTTAACTCTGAAGTGAACTTTGTGTTTTAATTGAAGACGTAACATTTTCTCATGCGTGGAGTGTAACGATCGACTAATCTCAGGGAGAAACTTTGACGCAGCACTTCTGGTTTGAAGAGACTTTTCTATTAACGCGTTTGCAGCTTTAGAGGTTTTTTAAATTTATCATCCTGACTTCAAATCAGTTTTTAAATAAATGATATAAAATATTCCCGCTTGTTTTTTTTTTAATCAGCAACTTTTCATACAGATGAATCCAGAAGTTTACATACACCTTTTATTCTCACTGAAGTTAAATGAGACCAAAATGATCAGAATTATTCAAAATCAGAACAAAATTCATCCATTCATCCTTCTTTCCATTCATCCTTCCTTCCCTACATTTCTTCATCCTTTTATTCCTTCCATTTATTCATCTTTCTTTCCTTTCTTCCGTTTCTTAATCCTTCCTTCCTTCATTTGAAGCACGGTGGTGGGTGCATGATGCTTTGAGGGTTTTTTCTGTCCTCAGCAGTGAAACCAGAGGATTTTTCTGCTAAAAGCTCCAGCTGCCGTTGTCCTCTAAGCTCCACCAGGTGTTTGCCAATTGCTGCTGGCTAGTCTGAAGTAGCTGAATGGTTGCCATGGCGATTCAAAATGGAAACATGCATGACAATCACAGCAACTCGCCAGGTATGTTGTTGATGAGGGAATAAGAGTAAAACTAAAAAATAGGTTAATTTTACATTTACATAATACTGGCCCTTTAAATACCACATAAAAAACTTTACAGAAAACCTTACAGGTTGAATTAATCTGTCTTGAGTTTAAAATGAAGTTTTTCAGTATGAAAAATCGTTTCTTGATCTATTCATGTCATTTAAAACAAAGAAATGGTTACAACTTGGAAATGTTGCAGGCGTTCACACGTCATCTCAGTAAATTAGATAAATATTAAATTCAAAAAGTGAAACTTTATGGACTCATTAAAGCTGATGAGCTTAAAAGAACAAATCTGAATATTTCATAGAAGAGCTAAAACCAGAATATTTTAAGACAGAAATGTGACCCAGATACAGTACGGGAAAGTTTATAGAATGTGAGTAGAAAGTTGAGTGGAAGGAAAATGAGCTGTAATTGTAATATTCCTTATTTTAATAAGAAAGTTTCACATATTAAATGTAATTACTGAAATAAACTACAACCTGGAGATGTGCATAAAAATATTAGAATAAAACAACTCTTTACTTTATAAATGAATTTATTTAGTAATACAGTGGTATACTTAGAAATGTGTTGCAAAGAAAAAAGAACCAAAACTGAACAGAAATAAAAATCAAAATAAATAAAAAGAATGTCGGCCACACGGGAAAATAAAACTAGAGTTGGTTTGAAGCTGTGTCATCATATCAAAAGAAAAATAGTACTGATGTGCCATAATAAATCGTCTATTAGTACAAAAATACATTTCAGGGCACACAATACCGCATCCAGTATCACAAATAAAGGAAGGGACCACTCTTCAAAGCAGCCCCCCTCAAGTACATCTTTTTAAAATCAGTTAAACCAAGCACTTCTCTAGTTTGTAAATAAGAATAAAAAGTTTTCTGACAGTTAAAAATGCCTTAAGTAGTGTATCTGTCTGTGTGTATGTTGGTAGAAAAGTTGGACTTATTACTGCGTATGTCAGTTCCAAGGCTCAGGGGTATAACCAGAATATAAACATAACCAATGTAACCACTTCTTCCTCTTTTTAAACAAACAATTTTCTCTTTTATACAAAATAACAAAGATGTACAAAAGGTCATTTACAGAGAACCAAGGCCATATGCTAGCAGTATGTACAGCCACGTCTTTTAAACATCTTCTAGCTTTGTGTATTTCCTCAGATTTCATATGCATAGCAGTAAAAGAAAGCATACTTTTTTTTTTTTAAATCGTCAGCCCCAATTATTCTGTGTGCTAAATCCAAGAGAAATGCAGAAACACGTTGTTTTTTTTTGTTTTTCCCTCCGCGCGGATAATCGTTACAACTCAAGGATCCGGTGTTTTTGAAGGTTTTCACTGAAAAGTTAATATGCAGATAAGGCATCACTGCTTGCAGTGTAACGATGGGATTTCATGTGTTGAACTTAGTCGTTAGCAGGCTTCTGGACCTGAGTCATAGCACATGCATAGATCTCTAGACAGCAGGAGTTTCTGGAAAATCAAGTCAGTATATTTATCTACGGTAAAACTTTTTCTTCTTTTTTTCCCCCTACAAAAAAAAACAACAAAAGAAAGAAAAATAAAACAGCAGATTAAATCAGAGAGCGCTCCGTTTCCAAACAAACGGGGAATCTGATGCTAACGCTTAATACTTTCATTATTTTTCTACGTCTTCCTTCGTGAAGTCCTCGGAGATCCTTCGCAAAAACAAAGGTTTTGCTCATATAAATTTAGCTGTTTGTGTGATTTTTCTCTTTCTCGTCTTTACAGCACACAAAATCTTGTTTTTTCTTCTTCTTTGTCGCACCTCTGCAACCTTTGAGCTAAAAATGTCAAAATGAGATTATCCAGTCCTGTAGCAATGGTCATGCATTCCAACTTCAGTTCCTTAGATAACTTTTTCTTTTTGCAAGCTTTGAAAGCACCAAAAACAAAAACAAAAAAGAAAAAAGAGGAAAATGAACAAAAGTCCGGCCTCCTCCAACTCGCTTTGTGTGAGCGTTTCTCTGCTTTTTAAAGTTTTGGGGCACAGTAAACAACGTGAGAGGAAGGAGTTCATACCCGACCGTTCAGCACATTCGTTAACAGGCCAGCTGTCGCCGTCTTCAGAAGTGGTCAATGAGCACAGACACGCAGTTTGCACCCACCAGGTAGTTCGGATCTCCAGGGAGAGATTTGTTCTGCCAGGTTTTAGGATCACCTGCAGGGAAAAACACAGCCGGAGTCAGAGGTGCAGAAATGAAACAAACTCATGCTGATAACCTTAAAGTTTGTAAAGCTGCTTTGGGTAATAATGAAATAAAATCTGGCTTAAGATGTAATGAAATATCATCAAAATAACAATATGTGACAAATGATGCAAAACGAAACAAATCCTGGATTGCATTTTGAATCATTTTGCCTTTAAATGACATTTAGGTCAAAACTGTACAACGGCGTATTACAAGGATTGTGTATAGAAAAAAAAGGTAGGAAATCACCACCAAAAATCCCAGAAATTTTGAAATTAAATCTCAGAAATTGTTTAGAAAAACTCAGAAATTTTTAGATTAAATTAAAGGAAAAAATTGGAAATTTCTGAGTTTGGAAAGTCAAAAAACCTGAAACTTTGAGGTTAATCGCAGAGATTTTCAGAAAAAAAAAGAAAAAAAAAAATTCAAATTTTTCTGAATTTCTAAAGTTGAAAATTTTCTACCAATAACTAAAATTTTTAGATTAATCTAATAAAAACTTGGACATTTTCTGAGTTTCAAAAGTCAAGATTTTTCCAGATAAAACGGAAATTTTTTTGATTAATCTCAAACATTTTCTAAAAAAAAAAAAAACTTGGAAGTTTCTGATTTTGAAAAGTTGAAAATTTGCTAGAAGAAAATCTGAAATGTTTAGGGTAATTTCAGAAATTTTAGAGAGAAAAAAAAACAGGAAATTTTTTGGGTTTAAAAAGTCAAAACGTTACTAGAAAAAATTAGAAGCTTTGAGATTATCTCAGGAAATTTTTTGGAAAAAACATCCAAATTTCTGAGCTTCGAAAGTAAAAAAATTGCTCGAAAAAAAATCAGAAATTTTGAGGACTGCAACTAATGATTATTTTAGTAATCGATAAAACTTCCAGATTTATTTTTACTGAACCACAATATTGGAAATACATTAAAAGATGCGGATAAACAAATGATAAAAATAAACATTTTAATGTCTAAAATCCATTAAAATAGGATTCCTTTAGCTTAAGCTTGAACACGTGCAGTAAAAAAAACCCAACAAAAAACACGTATTAAATCAGTGCAGGGCTGATCTGATTAATAACTGTAAAGCAAAAGGTTCTTGATAAGAGATTTTATTTATTTATTTTTTTACAGATTTTGAACTGGGCGAAGCTAAAACTGCCATTTGAGTTTGGGTAGAATATGCTTACAAAGTTAGTTTTTTTTTATCTTAAATGCAAAATGTTTATAATTTTATTTAGTTTTGGGTTAATTTCTGCTCCAAATGTTATTCTTTCAGAAATTGAATAATCGATTAATCACGATTAATCGTTTCAGCCCTAAAGTGGGTGATTGTCTGTTTACAGATCACAGGTTTATTAAAATCTGATTTCTTCAGCAGACTAAAAAATGTAAAAATGTTTTGAACACTCAGACGGAGAGAAATCCGAGGCGACTGTTAATTTCCTCAGACTGAACAAAGATCTGAGAATAAGCAGCGTTTTTGTCAGAGGCGTCACAAAGGAAACCTCTGTAACCGGGTCAGGCCGATGCTGATGTTCTCGGCTCCAGAGCAGAACGATGAAAAACACGAGTTTGGACCGAACGACGCTGATCAACACGTTTATGAAACATGGCGGGGGGAGAATTGTAATCTGAGACCAAATCTGGTGCCAAGAAAGTTTCCAAAAACTTTCAACACGAAAAAAAGTTTCCAAAAATCAGGAGTTTGTAAATGTTTCCCACTGTGAAATTCAAGCACTTTTCAAGGATTTTCAAGGTCAGTTTTCAAACGCAAGTAGAGTTATGCTGGTGGGTTATGTGGTCAAGAGGAACTTCTCTTAATGTGACATAATCAAGTTTTCCTTAAAAGTCGTGCATAATTAATGTACAAATAAAAACATGTTCCTTTTTCCACCAAGCAGTTAAGATATTAGACTGAAGAAAGGTTTGGCGATCGTACTGAAGAGGGGCATCAGCATTGAGTTGTGATTTGTTTGTTTTTCTTCATACCAACTACTGACACAACATCTGACTCCGTAACCACGGAAACGGGGGATTGTCTTTACAACACGGTGCGGCTGATTAACATCTCAACAGCTCAAATGATCCCAGAGGAGTTAAAAGTACAAACCGTCAATCGTAGCGCTCTCTAATGAAACGGCCAGACAGAAATGAAGGAAGTGGCAAAAGCAAACGAGGCAAATTAGCAGTGGTGGTCTCATTTATTCACGACATGCTGCTGTGAAATTTATCGTCTCTGCTGCCCAGAAACCGAGCTGCTCGCATCTCATGACGGCCTTCAGTCAGAGGCTTCTTCAGGTTTGTTGCAAAACTGACTGCTACTGGAGATCTTTTATGCCCACAGCATCACCACCCACAACGGCTTTAATTTCCTTTTGGGATAAATACATTTGTTTTACATTTAATTAAGTTTCTTAATGAACACTTTTTTAATGTTTATTTGATAAAGCATGTGAAAATGTACAAGTATATATTTGACAAAAACAAACAAAAAGAAAGGAGATCAGAATACGTGGAAGCGCTGATTCACCCACAGCAGATTATTAATTTCTGTTTTCATCAGGGCTGGCCAATACGGCTTAAAAATGAATTCAGATTTTTTCAGACCACATCTAATTTTAATTGTTTTTCTGTCACCTTCTTTTAATAAAAAAAGAAATTACAAACATAAAATATATTTTTTATGGTCCGTTCTCAGAGTTAAACGATGCTGCATTAGGTCCAGGCTATGGGAATTTTTATTTAATAATGATAATATATTCAGAATATAGACACAATTTTACCAGAACATCTTAAAATTAGGAGAAAAAGGTTTTCTACTGGGTTATCAAGACCAGCTGAGTTTATGCGGTTCTTAGACAGACTTAGATTTGTTTGCATCATTATTTAAATATTTGCTACCGATAATAATTTGAAGCTGATGTTAAAACATGAAATAATAACTTTATCTGTAAAACCGATAGAGTATAACTTCTCAAGATGTTCAAGATCTCTCATTTTAATTTTCTTTGCTATTTTTTGTTGGGCTTTTTGTAAAATTACTCCTTAATTCTCCTAATATTTCAACTTTATTCTGGTAATACGAGTTTATTCTCACATTATTTTGACTTCATTGTCGTAGGATTTTTTAAATCTGATTACTACGACTGTATAATTAAATAAGCCTGGACTTAATATTTCGTTGTAGCGTTGACCTGAATTCAAAGTCAAAAAACAAGCTAGTCAATCAAGATGGCGGCTCTGATGTCACTCTGAACTATGGAAGCCCAGTGGTGACAAAAATACAGATTTTCCAAAAATGTAATTTTCAAAAACTGAAGAATTTTAATTGTTCAAATCGATTTATCGCCCAGTCCTATTATTCACAGATTAATTTTTCTGCATTTTCTACACAGATTAGATTTATAAAAATTAAATAAGGGGCATAAGGAACGCTAAAGAGTCCAGATCATCGTTTCTGGATCTCCATGTTTGATCAAAGCCAGCCCACAGACCCCAAAAGGACAGAGAGAGAGAGGACAGCATACCCGACGAGGAGTCGGAGGATTTTAGAGCAAAAGACCAACCATCAGGGGTCATAGACGCACAGTGAGGTAAGCGCAGCTCCACCGGCTTCAGGAACTTGAGTCCGTGAGGGCCACACATCACCAGCGGACTTAGCAGCGTTTCTCCTGCACAGAAACACGGCAGGATTTAAATTCCACCAACTAAGCAGAGAGGAATTTAGCAGTGGAAACAGATTAGCCTTTAACTAATGAAGCATACCGAAGAGTCTGGGGGCAAAACTCAAGGTCAACTGACTGGACGGCTTGATAAATGAACACGACACTAAGGAAGTTTTAAATCATCTATGGATCAGGCCAATAGCTAAAAAAATAATTAAAAAAAAATTGCAGTCCAAACGATCATCTTATGGTATTTCACAGGGAAAGATTTTCATCCTGATTTACTCCTTCCAACAATCTTGAAAACGTCCCGATTAACAGGATGCTTCTGTTGTGCTTCCTTGAACAGGAGAGATCTAGAGACGATATAAAACATGATTTTTACAATGTTTGCACAAAATCATCCTTAGATAATCAGATTGAGATGTTTCAGGGCCTCCTGTCACTTTAAATCCAAATAAGCTGCTGATGGCCACGCCTCCCAACGCAACGTTTACACTCACACGTAAAAATGGCTGCAAACAAAAAAGCAATTATACAACTATGCATCTCTGAAAAGCAGAAGTGGAGCCTCCTGCATAACCAACAAGAATCCAACAAGTGGTTTCTGGATGGTGAGTCAACCTCAAAACTTTTCCAGCAGCCATTGTAAATACTGCAAAATCATACCAAGTACTTTTGGTCTAATGCAAATATCTTAGTACACAAACACAAAACTAACATACATTTAACTTTTCACCAAGATATAATTAGCTACTTTAAGAACATAATTCCTAAAAAGTAAGGGGGTAACGGGGCTGGAACACTGCCGGGGTTGCTAGGTAACGGGGTTGGAACTCTGCCGGGGTTGCCAGGTATCGGTGTGATTCAACAATCAGGAGATTTTTGAAGTGGCTAATTTTCTAGACACCAAAACACATTAACTTATTACCGAAATAATTCAAGCTTGGGTTGTTTTTAGAAGCAGCAGAAACCCAAATGGAGATACAAAAATGTTCAAAATGCCAATTTTACATAGTAGGTCCCTTAATACAGCAGCAGAAGCTCAGGCCTAAACAACCTTTTAAGTTTTTTTTTACCATTTAAAATCTAGCCAAAGTAGCAGAACTAAACTTGACATTTAAAAAGGGTCCTCTAATTACTATCGGGAGCACTTTGTGTTCCAAGGATTTTCTTGGAGGCTGTAAGTCATTCTCTGACATAATCGGGGCAGGGAGGATCCGAGCGCTGACCTTTCTCCTTGTCGAGGGGCGGCAGGATGCTGTTGTCCCGGCACACCTTGAAGTAAATCTCCTGCTCCACGCTCTCGGGGATGGCGCCCTGGGGGATGATGATGCTGACGCCCGTCTCGATGGAGCTCAGGACCCCTCCGTTGCTGTTGAAGATGCCGCGGGCGGTGGCGACCACAGTGTGCCCTTCGTCCTCATCATCGTCGTCCAAGGCGCTGGGGCTGAGGCGGACAAGTCGTAAGGGATCATCAGTCAGAGAGGGAGGCAGAGCAAACCTCCAGGGAAAAGCGGCTGAGTTTCCGTTACGAAACGGACAACATCAATCCATCAAGGTTTATTTGTGTATCACATTTCAGCAGCAAGGCGGTTCAAGGTGCTTTACATCATAAAAACTGAAAATGACAAAGTGCAAATCAATAGATTCACAAGTCGAGCTCTAAAGTTGTTTTTTACGTTCTGCATGTAGCTTGTTTGTTGTAGCCACCATTCTGGTGTTAGCCTTGATGCTATGATTTAAATTTTAGCTAGCTTCAGGTTTTTACCTAGTTTTAGCTTTTACATGGATTTTTTCACTCTGCCCGTGTTATGTCAACATAACCTATATGCAATCTTTAGCTAGCTTCAGCTTGTAAACTGTTGTGACCTTTGAATTTAGCTTTGTATGCACTGCACCGATTTTTAAAATCTCTGGGAGAGATTTTTATAATTTCACTAAAAATATTCACTGCATTTTCACAGGAAATGCAAATGTTCTAGTTTATGTCTGTTTTAAAAATGAAATATTTTGAGTTAATTCAGCACCGTTCTTTTGTATCGTATTGTATCAGTTAATGCTAATCCTCATATCGGTATCAGAAGTGAAAAATGGAGACGCGCTGAGTGCGGCGTCTCTTTCTGCCGCTCACTGCGCTCTGATGCCTCACCTTACAGGGACGGCCTTGGGAATGGCGTTGATGTTATTGTGCTGGTATTTGGGCCTGTTGTCCATGGTGCGTGTGAAAGTGTCCAGGCCGCTGTCGTGGTCGAGGGGCTGCGGCGACAGCTGAGGTTTCACTGAGGCGTTGCTCACCACCCCCGGCTTGCTGAGGAGGTCCGTTTTCACCTGCGTGTCGTTCGGCAGCAGGTTGTGGTTGAACTTTGGGCTGTCGAACTTGCGCTCGAAGGGCCGGGCCGCGCTGGTGTAAGGCTTGGGGACGTAGCGGTTGTAGCTGGTCGAAGGCGGAGCGCCCAGGGTTTTCGGCGGCGGCGCGTCGGTGCCGTTGACGGGGACTTTGTCGGGGAGGCCTCTGGGTGGCAGGTAGCCGCCTGGCGTGGATTCGTCCCTGCTAGTCGGCCTGAGAGCTGCCAGGTCGGGTTTAGGATTCGGGGAGCTCAGTGGCTCAGGGATGGAGTTGGCTGGAAAGGAAGAAAAGAGATAAAATCTCTACATACCTTCCTTCTTACATACCTTCAGTTTAAAACTAGGACTAAAACGAATAATGAGATTGATCCATTATTGAAATAATCGCCAAATAATTTAGAAGTCTGGAATATGCAGCCTCAAAAAGCATAATTTGCTGAACTAACATGTTTAAAGCAGCAATTCAGCTAAAGTTTATATATATATATATATATATATATATATATATATATATATATATACACACACACACACACATTTAAAATCAATTTTATTTATTTGTGCAGCACATTTCAGCAACAAGGCATTTCAAAGTCATAAAAACACAAAAATACAAAGTCAAAGAACAGTCAACGATTGAGAAAACCAGTAAACATTTTTCCACATAAAATATGTTGGTCAATGTTTCATTTATAATGGTTCAAAGGTAACCAGGTGGGTTTTTAGTCCAGATTTAAAGGAACGTTTTAACGATTCAGAATTCAAGAATGGTTGTGTCAATTTTCCACTGGGTTTGGTCAAAATTTAAATCACTTCAATGAGGATCAGACACAAAAAGATTTTCCTTGTTTGAAGTATTCAGGCAGGAAATCATTTTAACGATTTTTAAATGTAAAGAAACATATTTTAGAGGCATAATAATTATGATTTAAAGTGCAAGGCACAATCTGGGAGATGTGATTATTTGGGTTTGTTTAGGGATTATTTCTACAACTTACCGTCAGCAGGGCTGAGTTTGGACAAGGTGTTGGGTGGGATGGCTGGAGCTGGGGGTCCGTACTGAGCGGAGGGACTGATCTGGGCCAAAGCTTCGTATCGTTTCTCCACTGGGCTCACCTTCTCCACAGACTCAACTCTTTAAAACATAACACAGTAAATAAAACAACAATCAATGCGACTGCAGGGCTCATATCAGCATTTCCAGCAGTAAAATTCAAGGAAAGTTTTCAAACTATTCCAGCTCCATAGACTGGAGAAAACAAAAAAATCAATAGAAATGACCAAAAAAAGACATTTTTAATTCATTATTTTATGGTATAGTTTATTACTACAATTGATATGATCTGATGGTTTTCTGCATTTTGCAAACGAAAGAAAATTATGTTTTGTTTCTGACTGGTCTGAGAACAAAACTCTAATTTAACAAAACAATTTGCTAATTTCTGTTCAGTTGTTTAAAGTGTAAGTAATAAGATGATCAAGCATCAAGCAGTCACCGAGTCATTAGGAATAATAAATATTGATAACACTGAAACAATCAAAGGTAAATGACCTTCCTGCTCAAATTAAATGCTTAAGGACAAGAAATAAAGTTACAAAAAATATTCTTAAAAAATGTTCTCTTTACATTTTCTGGTATTTAACAAAAATAAATAATTTTGGTAATTGTAACTGACCTGAAATAAGAAAAGTTTCTTCTGATTTAACTTCAGACACTGAGGGAAAACATTTTTTCCTTTTTATTAGGTGGATAAAAATCTCTGGTTTCAACTGTAAAACCAGTTGAAACCAGGTTTGAACTGGTTGAAACCTGTCAGGTTGAACTTTATCACCAAACTGAACATGAAAGACTTCCTACAGAAACCAAGCACTTAGTTAAATGAATTAAAATTCAAGCCTTTTCCAGGATTTGAACCCAGTTCAGAGCACTGGGAACCAGCTGCGCTGCTGGTGCAGGGCGTGCCGTCTGACCTGTTGTAAGGGTAGGACAGCTGGGCGGGTTTGGACGGGTCGTGAAACCGGTTGATACCCGGACTGGGTTGGCCCATTGCCTTGCTGTCGAAGCTGCGCCGGTCGAAGTAGGACAGCTGCTTCCTGTAGTACTCCTCGTCGTCATCTGGGTCGTAGTGGTTGGAGCGGACCACATCATCCGGAGGCTTCGAATGAGGCTTTTGTGGCTCCGGAGCCCTGAAGACAAAATGTGTAAAAGAAAGAATATAAAGCTTTACAGATGAACTCTGAGTGTCGCTTCAGTTCGCTTGGTAAACCAGGAGGCCTCAGCTGAAGGCCGGAAACGATAAATACTGCTGGACGATACATTGTCCCAGCAGTTATCGCAATACACGATAATATTGTTGCTTTGAGCCGATTGTCATGTAATATAATGGCATAATGAACTTTAAATTCTAATGAACATTTAACACTGGAACTGGAAGACATTTTGAATAAATAAAACAACAAATAAAATTAATAAAGAAGTATCTCTAAACAAATCTGTCCTTTAAAAAAGGTGAAACTGAAACTGAAGACTTATCATCCAGTTTTTGGTAGAAAGACAGAAAAATCATGCAAATGTTTTTATACATCATGTGATTAATTGTGACAGGCCTATTTAGTTGTAAATGAGTAAATAACAGAGATTCTGAGAACCTCAGACACAAACTATCTCGATCCCTCCAGGAAGTTGCAACGTTGTGATTGAAAAAATTAATGCAAATTCACTCAGTTATCAAATTTTACTGGCGCCATTTTCACCAGTAATCGCAACTTTTCCACAAATCTGACCAATCACCTTAACATTAGTTGAATTTCCTTCTCTTATAACCAATCACCCTCTCTCATTCCTAATTTAACTTTTCCAAACTTGCAAGATGAAAGAATGTGTGACGCCAAAAAACATTTGCCTTTTTCTTTTTTTTTTTCCAAAACCGATTTTCAGATGTTCTGCAGGATTTCTTTATGCTGACAGTAAAGACAAATCCTACATAAAATATAATTCATGTTAACTTGAATGACAGACATTTAATTCTTCTTTTTAACTTTGACAACTCATTAGGATATCATTGGATTTGGATTAGATGCGATTTTAAGAAGATACGTGAAAATGTTGGTTATTTTTCTTAAGAGTCCAACTTTTGTTGTTAGATGGCAAAAATAAGCTTAAGAAATTAACTTTTTGAACAGTCTGCTGCAAAATCAGTAATTTTAGGCTGCAAGTATTAAAAAACAAACATTGCGACATTCTGGAGTCTCATAATGGGTAAAACCTTTGACCAGTAGGTGGCGCACAAGCAGCAACATCTCTCCTTAAATCTTTGTCTTTTTGTCCTGAGGTACCAGTCGGCTCACCTGTAGGTGGACTTCTCCTGCTCCAGGTTGCTCAGGGAGTTGGCTTTCAGGACCGGGGCGGGAGTGATCACAGGTTTGGGAGCATCTGCAGGCTGGAGAACAAAAAACAAATCCTGATTCAGTGATTTCTCCCTCTGTTGAGCAAGTTTTCCTCCATGTGAACTTACACAGATACATACAAAAACATGCGTTATAAAACCGACATGCTCAATTTCATTAAACATTTTTAAAGTTTTATTAGTTATTACACTTTGCTTGTTTGAGAAGAACAATTATTTTAGGAACCAACAAAACAAAAAAAATACTAAAAATTTAATTAATTAGGGCAGCAACTAATGACTCTTAGTGATGATTAATCAATTAATCTGAAGATTTTTCATTACACATTTATTTCAATAATCGATTAATCACGATTAATCATTTCAGCTCTAATAGTGATAAATTAAATCTTGTTTTTTGAAGGTTGAATTCAAAAATTTAAATAGATTAAGGATCATTTTGTTGCCACATCAGTTAAAAGTGGCCCATTAAAGTGTCATGTAGGGCTGCAACAAGCGATTATTTTTAGTAATCTATTATTCTGATGAAAAATTATCACTACATCAATAAAATGTCTTTATAGTCTATATAGACATTTTTGTCTTTTTATACATTATAAATACATTAAAAGATGCAAATAAATATTTTCATTCTTTTTTAAATAAGAAATTAATTTAATTTTCAAGCATTCAGTGAATCTGAACAAGGTGAAATCACTTCAGCAGTTTTGGTTAAAACATATTTACAGACAAAGGTGTTTATATCTTAAATGAAAATGTATATTTATTTTGTATAGTTTTGGCTATTTATTGCTCTGATTATGTTGTTCTTTCAGAAAATTGCCTTTTTTTGGTCTGCATTCCCTATTAATCGATTACTCAATTACAAAATTAGTTGCCGATTATTTCAACAATCGATTAATTGTTTCAGCCCCAAAATTAATAAATTAAAACATGATTTTACAGGATTATAGATAACATCTTAAGCAGAATCACCTACTAGTGTGTGTAGGACTGCAAATAATTATTTTAGTAATCTAATTATTCAGACAGTAGTCGATTAATCACGATTAATCCGATTAATTGTTTCCGCGTTTATGAGGAACGTACCCTGAGCACTGAAGACTCTCCTTCTTTAGCTCTTTCCATAGAAACTGAGCAAAATTAGAATCATTTCGCTGCCTCAACCAGTTAAAAATCACCCATTAAAGTGTCATTATTTGCGATTAATCATTTCGGCCTTTATGAGGAACGTACCCTGAACACTGAAGACTCTCCCTCTTTAGCTCTGTCCATAGAAACTGAGCGTTTATTCTCAAACATCTTGACTCTGTTGAGCACTGATTGCGGTTTCATGGCTGGATCTTCATCCAGGTCTTCCCGTGGGGGAGGAGGAAGAGGTTTGGAGGTCGGAGTGACTGCTGGCTCTCCTGGTGAAGGCAGGGCGTCTGGTTTTGGAGGGGGGACGGCGGCGGGCTCGGAGTTCATGATCGGCTCGTGTATCCCCGGCTTGTAACCTCGGTTTGGAAGCCCAGACATGTAGACGGGCCTCAGACCAGAGTCACCGTAGTAGTGCTTTGGAGGCTCCGGCGAGCGAGGGGAGTTGATGGGAAAGCTGCGGGTTTCTGCCTCATACGGAGATCGGGCTTCGTAGCTAGCAGGAGGTGGGGGAGGGGGCTCGTCGTACCGAATGGGCGCGGGTTTACTGTGCCGCGCTCTGCTGTCGTAGCCCACCGCCGGGGCCTCGTCGTAGCGTGGCTGAGGCGGGCTATACTCCCTCCCCGGCCCGTCCTCGTAGGGGGAGCGAGGACTGTATCCCATTGGTTGCTGGTGGCCCGGCTGGTACCCGGCGGGCTGTGAGGACGAGGTCTGCTGGTCGTATGGGGGCCACTGTTCACTGTAATGAGGCACACGGTTGTCGTAGTGCAGGTGAGAGTCAGAGTTGTGAGGCTTTGGTTCTGCGTAGCCGCCTCCGTCGTATCCATAAGGCGGGTGGTCGTATTCGCGGTATGGCTGTTTGTCCTGAAACGACGGCTGGTGACTGTAGCTCAGAGACTGCTTCAGACCGTGGTTGATCCGCACCGGGTCCTCCATGTTGTATAGATCTTTCTTGTACATCTGTAAAGAAATGGCAATAATTAAATTTATTTGTAAGATATCATTAGTGAAGATACCCAGTTAAGGAAAAGTTATTTCTCCTAAAACACCAGAAGAATTTCCTAATAAATGTGCCACGCGAAAATATTCACACTCTTGAACTTCTTCAGATTTTGTCCTGTTGCAGCCACAATCTCAAGTGTATTTTATTTCAATCATGTGTTATTAAGACACAGATACCGAACTGTGGAAACAGATGGGCTTCTATTGACCGTAAAATTGCACAAATTGGAACGGAAACACACCAATCAAAAATAAGAAGAAAAAAAACAAACAACTTTTCTTTATTTGGTAAAAAGTTGTTCAGCCGTATCATAGTTTGTGAATTTCACAAAACCCGCATCACACAAGTCATGTGATCAACAACCGGATGTTACTACTGGCAGAAAAGATGAAGAACGCAACAGGAAGTGGTAGGAGGATCACAGTGTGGCTTGTTTTTTATTGACTCATCACACGAACAGACTTATTCATGTTTGATTTTATCGCGTTTCTTATTTAATTTAAACACTGCAATGGCAAAATTAGGTTTTTTAGACATTATAAACAAGAATATCAACAAGGTTTTGCACCCATTTGTAGTCAAAACTCAACTGTTGGAAAAGAATATATGGTTTTCAGAATCGCTCACAAATATAAATCTAAAAAGTGTCATGTGTCAAACTTTAGGCCCAGGGGTCAAATCCAACTTTAGAGAAACACATGAACAGAATCTTCAAGAAAACAGATATAGGCTTAAATCAAAGCAGTTTTTATGAATTTACTCCCAAACTACATTCATCTGCCCCTCCAATTTTTTGCAATCGCGGAAATTCCCACAAAAACCAGCAAACTTCAAAAAAATTTTTGCGCTAATGCACTGAACATTTCCACAAAAATGGTCAAAAACATTGAGTTTAAGTTACTGCTAATTCCCACCTGCAGGTGGCAGTGTTTCATATTTAGCCTTAATTGATTTAAACCATGATCGAAATGGCAAGTAAAAGTCACATTTACTGCCATAGATAAGTGTGAATATTTAAAAAATTCGTACAAATATTTCTAAATTAGCTCCACAAAAATCAGCGGTTTTGGCTGAAAAACAAATTACAATATTTTATTTAAATTGAAGAAGTACTTATGCACACACACCTATTTATTAAACAATTTTAACAGCTTTTTAAAGAAGTTTTACATACATTCTGGCACAAACAGATATCTGAGAATGAATGAAAACCCGTGTTTTAGGTGAAACATGGCATTCAAAGCCTCAGGAATAAAAAGGCCCAAACATAAACCCATGTATCATTTTCCTTCAGCTTAATTATATCGCACTATTTCATGTTTCTCTATAACACAAAACATCAATAAAATGCCTCGAAGTTTGTGGCTGTAACATAAAATGTGGAAAAGTTGAAGGTGTGTGAATATTTTTGCAAGGTACCGCAAACTGAAACCTCAAGAAGCTCAACATTCACAATGCTGACCGAATCGTTAGAAATAAATAAATCCTGAACCAACTGATCAAATTACAAGCTTTTTTTGTTCTTTCTTGAAAAACGGTTCTGAATGCCTGTTTGACAAGATGCCCTTCAGGAAAAATTTAACTGAATTTTACCAATTGAGTGTGTTTTACAGAGAACCTCTTAACAATTTACACATTTCTGAAAGGCCTCATTTCAAACATATGATGCAGAGTAGCCTGCAGACAGTGAAGGAAGGAGGCCAACATGTTGGAAGAATCCGCTCAACAGGGAAAATGTGTCAAGTTTACAGCAAAGTTTGAGGTATTAATACGTCAGAGTACTGTCTGCAGGTTAGCTTTCATCATGCAACAAACATTCAGTTTGCAACTTATGCAATGTCAAACTACTAGCACTACAACAGACAACACATCTACCCACTACAATGCCACCGTCAGTGCTGCTACTGTTTGTCTACAGTAGAGAGTCAAAGCTGAAAGGAACCCAAAAAATAAACAAAAACAAAACATCAGGAGCCATGCAAAGGAAGTAAGAGGCAACAGTTAGGGCTGGTTGTGGATGTCTTCACCCTGATCAGAGACTCAGATGTAACCAGTCCTTCTGGTCTCCCAGCCCACTGTGGTGCATGTGGACAAGCGAGTCGCACATTTCCTCTGGGAACCAGAGGCTCACAGTGGGCTCAGTGAGTCACACAGTGTGGACATGACATGCAGATAGCGAGTGGAAAGCATGTGTGAGAAGACAGGCAAGTTAAAAAGAGCAGGCTGGGGAGCCGGGCCCGGTCCGAGTGGCTGGTGAAACAGCGGATACCTTTGGTTCTGGACCAGGGGGTTCATGTGGTGGTGGAGGTGGTGGTGGTGGGGGCTGAATTAGCTCAGGGGCAGGGCTGGGGCTGCTAAGAGAGTCCGCCTGAGGAGCTGCGGCTGCAGCAGGCGGCTCCTCTAGTTGTACAGGCTGCTCAGCAGCTGGGGAGGCTGCCACCGGCGCAGGCAGCGGGGGCAGAGCAGCCTCACCTTGCTGTGAAGTATCGTTAAGAGACATTTATAACACAGCGCCGCCAAGGGCACACAGACAACATCTCACCCCAACACTACCATCTGGTTCCTTACACTCACCAGTCAGAAGATAAAGAAATGTGGTTAGAATAGATAATATACCCATTACATAACTTAAAACATGTTTACTGCTAAAAAAAATAAAATCCTAGAGATGCACCAGTATACTGTCTGATTATACTGAATACATGCAGGGGATTCATGCAGCTTAGTATGAACCCCCTGCATGTTAGTGTGTATATACGGAGATTTCGCACAACGCTGGAGGGCAAAAAGACGATTCTTTTAGGTGCCGTAGAACAAATCCGTTAATTAAATGAAAACTGAAGATGCAGGAATTACTAATTTAGAGTAATGAGACAGAACAAAGGGAAAATAATGCAGAAAACTCGCTAAAGATCAACTCAAAACCACTTTTTCCTCGCTCTCTGTGTTGGTTGTGCTACACAGAGGCCTGTTGCCATAGCAACCGACAACAACGCCACTGCATGTTTCAGGTTTCAACACCAAAAAACACTCAAACATTTCCCACACAAAGAACATTCAGTCTGTTATGGTTTTATGTTTTCAGGCTTGATGTTTATTTTGCGATTATTAAAAAGTGAACGCAGTGGCAGATTAGCTACCAATGCCATTAGCTAAGCTAACACTGCCAATGCAGTGGCAGATTAGCTACCCATGCCATTAGCTAAGCTAACACTGCAGTGGCTGGTTAGCTAATTTAATCACCTGCACTATTGATGATCTGTCAGCGTTGGTGTTTAGGTCACCTGAACCAAAACACACCAAATTAAACATCACATCTACAGGTTACTATTACCAAAGTCAAGCTAGCATAACAGAACTACTTCCCTTTCCCTTTTTTTCTGAACCTTGTTATCTAGCTGTTGTTGGGTTGACAATTAGTAGCAATAAATTTCTTTCATGCATCGCACATACATTTAAGATATTGTGCGTCATATTGACAGCTTAACAGCTAAAACCAAAGCTAGCCATTGTTAGCGAGCACTTTTTTGCCCTCCAGCAGAGCTCTTGCTCGTGTGACGTCGTGCTACAAGAGGTCCACATCGGTCTTTCTCAAACTGTCCACAGACAAAAACCCTGAGAACGGAAATCAGCCACAAGGTTCCGATCGGTGCATCTCTACTAAATATCAGAAGAAACCAGAAACAACACAGAATATAAAACAAAAAAAAGAAGCTAACGCTCTGCCCTGTTGTGATACGTTTACTATTTATTCAGCCAGTACTGCTCAACAACCCTACCTGCTGCGGAGCGGCCATTTTGAATCCAGCGGGGTCTATTCTGCTGGCGGGGTCAGGCTGCACAGGGTGCTGGTATCCAGGGTAGCCGGGGGTGTCCTGTATCACAGGCGGGTCCTCCCTGACGGGCTCCGAGGAGCGAGTGATGGCAGGCTCGGTGGGCAGGCCCACTTCATCGTTTAAGGTCTCGTCTAACTCCTGGTCGGTGTACGCTCCGCCCTCCGTATCCGTGTCCTCGTAGTCAGAAGTGTGGCGGCTGTCTGTGCTGTACATGGAGTATTCGCTACCTGGCGCCGACAGGTAGGACAGACGGTCGTCGTGGATATCCAAGTCGTCCTCTGTGGTGCCGTCCGCCTGAGTGGAGCAGAGAGTCCGTCAGCCATCAGCAGCATGAAGGACAGAAGCACTGCGGGACTTTGTCTCACCTTGCCCTCCGACACCCACACCAGCTGATTCTGCTGCTGCTGGATGGTTTCCTTCAGCGCGCCGTACCAGCCGTCATTCATGTTGTTCAAATTGATGGTTGCTAGATGGAAATAGTTTGCATAAAAATCACTTCACAAGGAAGAAGTAGTATTCTTGCATCAAAGAGGCAATTAGGGTTTTAAAGTCACTGTTTTCCAACAAACTGCGCCAACTTACTGGTGAACAGGTGGTGATTATTCTTCCTCAGTTTAATGGCTCGCTCATAAAGCTTCCTGGCGCTCTTCCTGGACTCTGGACAAAGTCTCGTCCTCATGTTCTTCACACCCTGTTTGTTATCGGGATTCAGGAAGACTACGATTGGGTACCACTGGGCATAATTTAGCCTGTCCACAGCATTTGGGGTGATGTCCAGCACAGCATGTTTGTCCTTCATGGAGTTGAAATAAAAACTGGTTTAGTAAGGCAGTATGTTCGATGGCAAAGTTTAAAAACAATCACACTCACTCTGTCTATGATCTGCTTAATGGTGTGAAGACGAATGATTCCCGAACTGCGTTGGTCTGTTCCTGCATCTCTGGGTTCGCTCTCTGAAAGGGAAAATGTGAAGAAATCCATGAAAAAACACTGAACACATGATGATAAACATCACAATAAGATGTTGGAGATAATATTAAACATACTTGCAAGTTCAAAGAGATCCGGCTCCTCTCTGGACAGCTTTTCTCGAGCCACGTCAGCAATGGGTCCAAAAATCACCACCGGTCTGAGGAAACCAGCTGCACAAAAAGCCCAAACAACAACAACAAAAAGTCAGATTCTTAAAACAAACCTGAGACGAGGTTTCTACGAACGTCTGTACTTTTTCATGCTATTTACGACTTTTCAGAACTTTTTAGCCCATTTTTAAAGTTCAAATAGAAAAACTGAAAATAGATGGATGAAAGAGTATCAATAGACAAAGACAGATGAACAAAAAGATGGACGGACAATTAAACTCAGGGCTTTTCCAAACACACTAATAAACCTCAGATATCTCACTCAAGGTTCTTTCAATAATCGATTAATCACGATTAATCGTTCCAGCCCCTACATCTCACCTTCTCTCAGTACGACTCTCTCGTAAGCAGGGAACTTTGTTTGGACCGGCTGGGAGGAAAGGTCCTCCCTGCTTTTCCTCAGGTTCCTCTTTGAGCTGCGGAGACCTCTGAACCTCCAGAAATCGGCCCGGTCGCCTCCTGCCGTTTTGGGAAGCGTGTACTGAACGCTGGAGAGCTGCTCCGCTCTGTTGGCAGAAAGACAAAGATGTAAAACAGGCTCCAGGAACAACCCAAGCACCAGGCGGCGCAGTGCTTTCACCTGTTCTTATTGGGGATGATGCCCCTCTCCACCTCCTGATGGTTCTTGCCAATGCGAATAGCTAACCAAGAGCCCAGCTTCCCGTTGTAGAGCGTGTCCACCACTCGGAAAACCTCGCCCTTGTTAAAGCTTAGCCCATACGGAGATTCCTTCTCGTACTCGAAATGCGTCCGAATGTAGAAAGAATCCCCGACATCCGACTCCACAATCCGCCGATAAACTGTGAACGCAGAGCAGCGAGCCTTTCACACCACACCAATCAGATCAAGATAATTTCTAATTTGTTTAGATTTTTCTTCTCCGCTTACCGTCTTTTTTCTTCTGAGCCAGGATTGTGACCTCTTCTCCCTTAGGAAGATCCAGAAGGAATAGCACCGCCTCCTCTCGGATTATGTTTGCAAAATCAACATTATTTACCTGGAAGTTAAGAAAACATCGTCCCATAAGTTTTATTTTTAGTAGGGATGCAAGTTATCGAATAATGAGTTAGTCTGAAGTTGATCGATCCTATCAAACTTCATGAGCGGCCATTTTCTTAAAAACAGTTTTCTCTTCTATCAAGAGGGCCGACTGCGTTTTATAACATAAAGGGCAAATTTTTTATAATTTGTTGAATCCAAAAAAACAAACAAAAAAAACAAAACAAGAAATAAACATTGAATTGTCCACTATTTTGCATCAGCTGTATTAAATACTGAAAATTGTAGTTTTTGCACATTAATAAACTAGAACATTGATAAAATATGACAAAACAGAAAACTCAACTTGCTGAATAGAAAAAAAGAAAATGAAAATATGTGAAATACTTAATTCCCATGAACAGAGATGTTCATGCAGAGTTTCTGTCTGCAGTTGATCTGGAGGAAATGTTGAAACTTGGCTCCACGAAGTGCATTAACTCACAACAGCCCTCAAAACCAACCTCTATTATTGACGTCATGTTTTTTTCCAATCAGGTTTAAATTTTTGGCGTTATCCCCCAAGACTTTTCTGTCATCGCATCCTCTCCTTTGAGGGAAATCTGTAGAAATTGACGCCATGCAGCTCGGCTGAATGAACGGCATTAATAAAGGTGAAACTTAAGGAGTTTGTCGAGCATTTATATTTCCAAACAGAAGTGGATAAAGTGTATTTTGAATCCAACACTGGACTCTGTTTGCACCATTTCTCTTTCCTGTTCTGGTAAGGCCTCGCCATCTTTGTTTCTGTATCAACTGGATCTGCTTAAGGATGACCAGCAGCGCCCTCTTCTGGATGGAGGCCAAACCTCAACACTGACATTACGTCTTCAAATTCAAAAATACTTTACTAATCCCAAAGAGAAATTAAATGTTGTTGTAACTTATTAATTCAGATTTTTCAAAGAGTTATTGTAGATGGCGATGGCTATTGGCAGGAAAGACCTGCTGTAGCAGTCTGTGTTAGAACGAATCTGAAGACACCTCTGACTGAAGATAACTCTGTTTTCTCAAGTCAGCCTCATAAAGAGGATGGTCAAGGTTGTCCATAACTTTCTTGATTTTATGAAGAATCCTTCTTTGCATAACCAGCTCATTCAGTCATTCCTAGAACAGAACCAGAGCCAGAACAGAACCAGCCTTCTTTCTCAGGCTGTTGAGCCTTTTTAGGTCCCTGGTTCTGATGCTGCTGCCCCAACAGATGATGCTCTCAACAACAGACTTGCTGCAAACCTTGAAGGACCTTTGCTTCCTCTATAAGCCCAGTCTGCTCTGTCCCTTCTTATAGTTAATTTATTGGAACTAGTTTTAATCTAATAAACCGTCAATCGACAATTAATTGCAAATTTATAGGTTCAATTAGTGCAGAAAAGAATCTCTTAAATCAGAAGATGCATGTAGTTCTCACTGTATTCAGAATCACCTGGATAACTACAGTAGTTTTATTGTAGTCCAGTCTGTTTAGGCGTTACTGGACACAGTTGGGGAGAAGAAGAAAAGGTGCAAACAGTAAGATGTACGAGTGCGGGGGTAATGGGACGGACACAGCAAGATGAATCTGTTTTAGTGTTTGTTCCCAACGGGGCGCCTGCTAGGAGACTAGCTTGATGATGGAGGAATTTCTGAACAGCCAGAGTGTAAATTAGAACAGGCAACATTTCAGGACGTTTTCCTTTAAAAACATGGCTGTTTATACAAAAAACCAACCGCCAAGGCAGGGGGGCCAAAGTGCGGCCCGGGGTCCATTTGCGGCCCTCGAAACAATTTTGTGCGTCCCTTGATCACGATTTAAAATCGGCTTAAATTTGATTTGCCAGGAAGTTGATGCAACAACACATGTAAAAACAAAGCTAGGGGGCAATTTTCAAAAAGTTTACAGGCAGTTTAACATCTTACAACACAAAGTATTCATCCAGGTTTTTGCTTGAAATGTAATTTATTTTAATAGTAAAAGGGACAACAGACATCCTGTGATTTTCACTAAAATACAGAGTGAGTGATAGAGCATAATAAGTAAGTAAGAAACGGTTTGTCAGTGTTTTTAAATCTGGCAAGACCTTTTTTAAGTTTTAAATCTACAGTAATTTACAGAAATCTTACTTATTTCATTAAAATATTGTGAGTTTAGTTTATATCTGAACAGGCAAAAATAAAAACGAAGGTTTGGCACTTATACTTAAAAAGGAAAACACTAAAAATGTTGTGGCCTCCCGTCGTTCGTTTCCCCCCAAACCAACATGAACTTAACCAATTTACCAGTTTCAGTTTGTTTTAATTCACAGTGGGGTTAGAAATGAGAGGCTTCACCCTGAGAATTTGGTCGCCCTCCTCCAGGCCCTCCTTAGCAGCGGGGCTGTCCTCCAGCACTCCGGCCACGAAGATGCCCACGTCGTTCCCCCCAGCCAGACGCAGACCCACACTCTCCCCCTTCTTGAACTTCACCAGCTTCATGCTTGGCCTGAGGAGAAACGCAGCAGCTGAAACTGATTTCCACTACTGCATAAATGCTAAAGTAAAGACTCTAAGGTGACAGACAGGAGCCTGAAGAGATGCTTAAATCACATTGTAAGAAGCAGGAATGGTCACTGTTATTCTGCTGTTAACAACCAAGAGGTGAAAACGCTGATAAATGCACATCTTTACATTACAGCTGCCAGAAAAACAAAATATCCAGTGACTATATTAAAACTTATTTACAGCTTCTAATGATTAAGTTAAACTATTAAGGATTTAATGATTTGTAAAATTAAAAGTATGAGTTTAAATTTGTGGTGATTGTTTTTTTTTTTTTACATACGTAGAATCAAAATTACACATACAGGCTAAAATTTATACATGATGCAACCCACTAATGTTCATTTAAATGCCCCATAACTAAACTCTTCTTATTGGATAATTGACTTATCAGAATAGTTTTAGTTTAGTTAGGAAGAGGACTTGTGGAGTTGCACTAGTCTGGTTCATTATTTGGAACAATTTCTAGAAGTTTGAAGGTGCAAAGTTAATCTGTTCAAGTAATTATATGCAAATATAGACATAGGGGGGAGAATCCGTCACAACTGCTTGCAGTTCTAGTTTTTTATGTGCTTCATTTCTGTTTATACAAACAAAAACCGAATGCAGACAGAAAAAAAGAGTGGATAGCCTTTTGTGGACCCAAAGCAATACAAGCTCTGGAATGTTTCTTTTTTCTTGAGCCATTTCTACAAGCACTTTGAACTGCCTTGTAGCTGAAAATGTGCTACATAAATAAAATTACCTTACAGTTCAGTATTTATTTAATTTACCATAAGAAATAAATTGAATCATTACAACCTACAAACAGAGAGTGCCAGAGTAAAAATAATTCATGCTGCGTGGATGTAAACCCACCCCCTGTTCATTTTTAATGGTTTATTCCAAGAAATCTGAATGTTTCAATGTAATTTATTTTTCATCTTACCGTAGAATGCTGTCATCATGGGCAGCGCTTGGCACAGGAGCATCAGAGGGACTGACAGGCAGGTCTACATCGGGCTGTCCAGGCTGAGCATACACAGGCTTTGGCTCTGAATATCAACAAAAGTAAACCACAAATTCACTGTATTACTCCACACAACACTGACAGCACACCAATCCACCAAATAAATAAAATGCATATGTACCGCTGGGAATAAATACACTGATGGAATAAAAAAATAAAAACAGAGGCCCAACTGTTCAAAGTATCAGTCAGGCGTTTGTGCATACACAAACACACAAAGCACACAGCGTCCTTAGCTGGGAGGTCAAAGCGAAAGACAGCAGAGCGCCGCAGGCTGCAGAGCAACGTCGGACTCGATCAACTCATATGGTTTATTTTCACCTGGCTTCAGGCAGACTCAGCCAGACTCAGCAGGCGTCTGGATCTAACTTTTTATGGTGGCTGGGCTTTTTAAAAAAGGGGGAAAAATAATCCAGAGATAAAATACACTGAGGCAAAATGGATGTGGGAGAAAAATAGGACCGACTTGCATTTTATCATTTTCACACATCGTTTGGTTTTTCTGGGCTACTATTAAGCAAATTTTGCTGGGCGATAAATTGTCCCAGAAGTTATCACGATAAATGATAATATTGTTGTTTTGAAGTAACATGATGGTAATAATGTCATAATAATAATGCAAGAACACAGTGTCAGAGATCAATGAGGCTTTAATGAACATTTAACTCTGGAACTGGAAGACATTTAAAATATCCAAAATAAATAAAACAACATAAAGCCTCTCTAAACAAAACTGTCGTTTAAAAAAAGCACTAGTTGATACCAAAACACCAAACCGAGACTTTTATCATCCAGGTTTTGGTAGAAAACAGAGAGAAAAAAGAAAAAAACGACAAGTCATGCAAATGGAAATGATTGCGTTTGTTTGAATTTATCATGCGAATAATTAATTGCTTAATTGATTATTGCGACAGGCCCAGCTCTGACCTGGGAGGGGAGGGAGCTGCTTCTCCTCTCTTGCGGCGGACGAATCCTTCGGTTTAGGAAGAGGAATGTCCTCCACAAGCTTCGCTGGCGTTGAGGCAGACTTCGACATCCGTTCATCATCGCGACTTCTGTGACTGCGGATGATAAAAATAATTTCTTTTTAAACTATTAATCTCTGGGAAAGGGGGAAGACGCTGAATAATGAATTGTGGAGTGCAAAGCTCTGCAGGCTGTGAAATTCTCTCGTGAGCGGAAACGTGCGAGCGGAGAACCGGTGAAAGAAGAACAGCCAGAGTAGGAGGCGGCAGCAGCAGCAGCATCTTATTCATGAAGGTCATTGCTCTGCCTGTCCACTCTTTTAGTGCTCTATTTTTAGAGCAGCTTATCTAAGGTGTCAGAGGGAATTTTGTCCTCCAGTGTGTCTTTAACAAAGCTTTCTTGGTCCTCACTGCTAGTTTTAAAACATTTCATGTGTTTTTTTTTTTATATTTAGATACCAATTTTTACTGAAAATTCACTGCAAAAACACAAAATCTTACCAGGTATTTCCAGTGCAAATATCTTAATACAGTTGAAATAAGACAAATACTAACTTACAGGTAACAGTTGGGCAAGATACAGGAGCTTTAAGTCATTACTTATTCTCCTACAACTTTATTTTCATAATATCATGACTTTATTCTCGTATTTTTAGTTTATTTTTTAAATTGTCTTAGCATTGCTTTAATACTCTGTTGTACCAAACTAACTTAAATGTTAAATTTCTGCAAGACATGCCAGCTTTAAGTGATTATTTATTCTCGTACAAGTTAATTTTCATATTATTATTTTAAAAATGTTCTTAGCATTGCTTTCATGCTCTATTGTACCAAATTAACTTTCAAGTAACTTTTCAGGACGATATTTAGCAGTTTTTTTTATCTCAATAATTCCTTAACCTTGATGAAAAAATTACTAGTTTAGATGATTTCACTTACAACATGAGAAAAATGTCTTGTTATAAGTGAAATAATCTAACAGTGGAACTAGTAATTGTTTAAGCAATATTAAGGAATTATTGACTTAAAACAAGCTGCTACATCGTCCTGAAAAGTTACTTATAAGCTAGTTTTGTCAAATTTCAAGAGAACCAATAAATTTACACTAGAAAATAGACTGAAGGTATTTGGTAAGACTTCGTGTTTTTGCAGAAAAACGCTGAGAACCTGATATTGTCAGAATATCAACAAAAATATCAAAAGACCTTAACAGATTTTTTTCATTTTACTTAAATATTAAATCCAAGTCAAATTTACAGGAACACCATAGCAGATACATGAAAATACCCTCAGCAGTAAAATCTGGTAGAATAAATTTTTACCTGCCATTGCTGATTTGTTGAGGCGAATGTCTGGAGTGGTCTGAGGGTTCGGACCGCCGGTCCGGTGAGCGGGAGCGGCTGCTACGATGTCTGTCATGCGATCGATTGGAATGGTCGGATGCCAGAGAATGGATGTCTGAAATGTCTGGTCAGACAGAGGTCAGGAGGTCACTGGGCGCAGAGTGAAGCCAGCAGGTACGACTTAATCTGCCATCGTTTCACATGAAAACAACCCTTAGTCCCTCACTCACCATCTCTGTCGGAGGCGTTAGCTGAAGGAATGCTGTCGTCCAGGTCGGGGATGTTGAGAAGGGTCGCCCTCTCGTCTCTCTGAACAACCATTTTTAGTTTGCCCTTTGACCTTTCAATCAGTTTCTTAGCGTCTATCAGGGAGAGGTTCTCTGTCACTGTCCCGTTAATCTGAGACAATCCAAAGAAAGAGATGTCAGCTTTCATTAAGATAGCCATGGTGAAAAGAAAGTACACCCCCATCAAATCATGGGGTTTCGTGTGTTTTATATACATCTTTTTGTAAGAAGTTATTAGTTTTTTTTGCCAAGTTTAAAAGTATTTTTTTTCCCACACAGCCTCAGATGGGTTGGCAAGACACAGTGAGTGAAAACCAGCATTTTCCAAACTGGTGATAAATTAGTACTTACCCATGATAGAGGCAGAAAAGCTAGCGAGCCAGTAGGGCTATGCTAGCAGCTAGTTAGCGATAGCATCGATCACCTTGAGTCAGACAGCAAAGACGACATCTGCGTGTGACTCAAACTTCTGCCAGGCAGAAAAAACTCCCTTCCCATTCAAGAACAAATATTCCTGACACGACAAATTTTAAAACCATAATTATTATTTTTGGCAAAATTAAATTAATTTTTTTTTTAAAGTAAGAAATTTTAAGGCCTTAATTGTACATACATCAATGTAAGACTTTTTAGGAGATGTTTGACAACCTGCTAATGTAACTTTGTTGAAAACCGGTCAGAGGATTTAATGTAATATTATTTGTGTAGACATGTATGTTATTGGTTCCATCCAGAAGTTTTGCACATGCGCACAACGTTGGAGAGCAAAAAGACGATTAGTAGAACGACACCGTTGACAAAATAAAACCTGGAGATGTAGGTATTATTAATTTATTGCAGTGTGCCACAGCTAGTGGAAAAATACAGAAAAACCGTTAAAGAACAACTCAAAACCACTCGTATTTGTCTTTGTTCTCGTCCTCTGTGTCGGCCATGTTACACTCATTTCTACAGCAACTGACTGCCAACTTAGGATTGCATCACTTTTTCTTTTATATATCTTGCGTGCATTTAAGATTTAGGGCATTATGTTGACAACTTGACAAAAAAACCAATGCTAGTCATCGTCTGCTGGCAGTTTTTTACGTCATGTGGAGCATATATGTGAAATTTACATACAATAAATGATAAAAGTACTCAATATGAGGTAAAGTATATGGTCTCTAAAGGGCAAACAGACCTAAATGAAGACAATTAAAAGGGTTTACATTAAGTTTCAGATAAAAAACAACCTGATTTGTTTTAACTAAAAACAATATGAAGTTGTAATCATGTGTCAGATTCTGCTTACCTTCAGTACAACGTCCCCCTCCTGGATGTTGCCATCCCTGGCCGCCAGGCTCTCGGGGGAGATGTCCTTGACAAAGATGTGGCTGGCCAGGCGCAGGCCATATTCTGCTTACAGAGTGAACGACAGCAACAAAGACGATGTTAGCACAGAGAGTTCACGTCACAGCAGCCCCACCGACCTCTCTACGCCGACAGCTGCTGCTCCCGCTGGGATTAACAGACTGATTAAAGAAGATTAATTGCTCTTTTACTTATTTACTTGAGTTTGCTAGGATTTTGCTGAGGCTGGCAACTTTTATTTACTCTGGCAGTTGACCAAAGCTGATTTGGAAGATTTATTCAGCTACCAAAACAGGGGAACGAATAAAACGACGACGTCTCGTTATTCGTTTCTATCCCCGACTTTGCGAGCCTCACCTTCATTTTTGCGGGATTTGACGAGCGTGACCTTGGCGGGGCGAGGGGGAAGGTTGTGCGAGCGGCGGTCCGAGCGCGGCGACAGGCTCCTCTCTCGTGAGCCGCTGCGCTCGCGGTCCCGCCGCCCGCTGCTCCGACCGCTGCGCCTGCCCATGGCCCCGCCCACGCCGCTGTAAGCACCGCTGCGCCCGCTCCGCGTCTCGTATATCTCTTCGTCGTAGCTGTCCTCCTCTTCGTCGTGTTCGGACATGGTTTCCCTCTCCCCCAGCCGGCCCATGGGAACGTGCACCTTTCTTTTTCGTCTGATTGTCTAAATGAAATCAGATTCAGTCACTTCAGATGAAATCGATCGTTAATTCCCCTGAAGTTTTGCTTTTATATTCGTTAGTTATCAAACACAACGCTTGCCAACAAACACTCACAATTTTGGCAATTTTCCCACTTTTGCGAAGCTGCTGGACAGCGTACGCATGCTCCACATTGTCCATGGAGACGGCATTGACCATAACCACTCTGTCATTTTCCCTGCAGGCGAAAAAATGAGAAAAAAAGGAACAAGCACACTGGAGTCTTTCTGGAGCGTTTCAAATGTACTAATTATTTATGGAGAGTAACTCAAAGCTAAAATTAGAGATTTGATCCAGCATCCAAGAACAAAATCTTACTGCAGCAGGCCTTCTGCTGGGCCGCCTTTCAGCACATCTGAGATGACGATGGAGGTCTCGCCGCTCTGAAAATGAGGGTTATCCCGACCTCCTGATATGGCTATCCCAAAGCCAAACCCTGGTGCCTGCAAGGAAGAAATATACAGAAACACACACACGGTTTTTAGATTTTAGAGTCAACTACTGTGACGTTTTTGTGATTTTAATGGAATCAAATGCGTCACCTATCACTTAAAATGTAAATGAGATTCAGTTAGAGTCAGAATCATTAGCAACCGCTGATGGAATCACACAAAACGCTTTATTTGAAGGAGTTTTCTTAAATGTTATGAAGTGTCATTCAGGAAATAATTACACTTTTAAATGCAAGTTTTAAGGTAAGGTAATGTTATTTACATGGCACATTTTCAGCACCAAAGCAGTTCAAAGTGCTTTACATGAATTGGAGGGAAATATAAAAAATAAAAATCAAATGCTTAAATATACAAAGAAAACTACAAAAATATAAGTTTTCTGGCATTTCGCAAATAGGACCCCAGAAAACTCAATTCTTGCTTGGAGAATTGAGTTACAGAAATAAATCTACATTTCTACAACGTCATATTTTACTTAAATAGTATCTGTAAAATATCTTTACTGATTCTGACCCAGGAAACAGGAAGAAGGAGAAAAGAGCGAATGCCTTACCCTGTGTAGTGTAACTGTGTGCTGTTCCCAAATGACTGTCTCCTCCATCGCTGCACTCTGAAAGACAGAAGAAGAAAAGTTTTCAGCTCCAAAGGTTCAGATGCAGTTCACGTCCAACGAGCTAAAAGCTGCCAAACGGTTTTAGCCTAATTGTCAACATGATCACAGAAGCAAGGGGGGAAAAAAAAGCGTCTTTTATCACTTTGGTTTGGATTAAAAATATAGGAATTCAATACTTTCCTTACATCAAAAATACATTTAACAGCTTTTAAAACAAATAGACACTATTTGACCAATCATTAAAGCCAGAGCTGACCTGAAATAAACACAAAAAGGAATTTCAAAAAGCATGGAGCTCACAAAAAAGGTCAACCCCCGATGTAAACTGCTTTTAAAAAGTCTGAACACTAAACTGTTTTTAACCAGAAATAAAAAAACACATATCTTCATGCAAATATTAAAATTAAACCATAATAACATCCTGGTTCAATACTGAAGCACAAGTCCAAACATGCACATTTATCTCTACTTCAGGCTCAGATGCAACGTTTCAAACACAAGCTGCATTTTCTTCTTTTAAAACTGCACTCTTAAACTTTAACATTAAATTCTGGGTGCAGAAACATAATTTTAGGACCTGGGAAAAACAAAAACCTTAGAGACAAAGCATTCCTCTTACTAAAGTAAAAGCTGGAGTCACTTCCCCCTTTTTCTTGGTATCTAACAGACAATTAATTTAAAATGTAAAATTTGACAAACAGCAACTCAGTTTGGTTTTTATTAAAAAACAAACTGCTGTTCACCTTCATTCAGCGTTTAGGATGCATCACAATAGCAAGAAATATTTATAATAAAAACCAAAATGAAACTTCCAGATAATATAGATTCACTGAAGCAGCCTTGAAAATAAAAGCCACAAAAACTAAAAAGACACTTTGATGTAATTTCACATCCACAGCATTTCTGTGAAGCATTAAACAGCTGCATATAAAACATTATTAGGCCTATCCCTTTAAGGCAGATTTCTGCTCGCTCCACTACATCTAATCTGATAAACCCTGTAAGCTTCATGCGTTAGATTACGACTTTTAGAACAATTCTCCACACAGAAAAACCCAAGATTTCACTTTGTGCAACAAAATGTGAGGAAGCTCAAGCACAGGGATCAATTTGCGAGGATTTATGAAGCACATAAAGGTCAGTAGACGCCCAAAATATATTTTATTGGCAAGTAACGTGAATGCTTTGTGCATGAAATATAACAGCCCACCAGATTTTGCATCTAAAGCAGTCTTTTGGCATCGAGATGCAGCACACATTGACAGCAGCAATTCAATACACTGAGCAGCTTCTTTTTGAGTCCAAAATAAAAGAAATTAAAAGATAATTCTTTTTTGATGCACTATGCTTTTCTCTGAGTTCATACAAAGAAACACAAACAGAATCTGTCCTGCTGATCGACCCGTCAGAGGAGATAAAACAGGAAAAATGACCTATTTAATGTTTCTATCCATGTTTTAAAAACAAACCCTATGATAACTACAAGGGTAATTAGAAATGACTACACTGCAAAAACACAAAATCTGACTTATTTTTGGTTTACTTTCTAGAAAGGTGCAAATCTCTGGTACTTTTTCATCAATATAAAGGAATCATTGACTTAAAACAAGCTCCTATATCTTGGTGAAAGGTTATTTATAAGTTAGTACTTTTGAAATAAGGCAAAACTAAGACATTTACAGTAGAAATTAGTCCAAAAATACTTGGTAAGATTTTGTGTTTTTGCAGTGTGCATGTAGGAATAGGAAAGTTTAGGTCTGTGATTGTGAGCTGTTTTTTTGTTTGACCAACAGAGCCTCCTTCAGCACATCATCTCTGCGTCTGTTACGACCTGTCGGCCAAATGCCAAACATCAGCTGGCGTCTGGGAACACAGGCAGCTTAGTAAATTGCCAAAAGTGGCCCCAGACGTCGCCAGCTTGGCAGCATCAACCACAAACCCGGATAGCAGCTGATGGTGTTACAAACACAAAGCGAAGGGGGAGGGAGGAACAAAAGTTCGAACGAGACGACTCCTTTTGATCTTTTAAACAGAATGGAGAGCAAATAGGAAACATGGAAGAACAATTCCTGAATACCAACAAGGATTTTTGGGGAAGGTTTAAACCACTGGGATTTACACCTGGATCTTTTTGGCATTGTGCAAAAGCTAAACAGATCATGCACTGATCATATTTCAGGGTTTCCTCTAGGATTTCTTTTAAAACAGTGGTGGTGGCATGACAGGGGAGACACATAAAGGTGAAACTATATTTATTAACTACATTAGTGTTCAAATGCAACATTCTTTTACAACATTCACTTTCACAGACTTGAACTTAAAATGCTTTTAACCTAAACTTCTCTAGGTACCATTTCTTCAGCTTTTTCTCTCCCTCTACTTCGGACTAGTCTTACTTCACTCCTGAAAGCAGCGCAGCACACAGTAGCCAGACAGGCAGGAGCTGGCGGCGTTTGTTTATAAAAATAAAGTAAATGTTAACATTTTATGATATTTAAATTAATTTCAAACTCTGATTTTGATTAGTACATGTTTGCACACATATATGTATATGCTTTACATTTAAGCCAATTTCAGTCAGTTTTACTGGATGATAAATTGACGTTATTGCGATAAATGGTAATATTGCCATTTTGAGACCATTTTCAAGTAGTAAGTATAAAGGTAATGACATAATAATGTAAGAACACATTCTCAAAGGTCAGTAAACTTTAAATCCTAATGAACATTTAACACGGGAACTGGAAGACATTTAAAATATCCAAAATACATTAAAAAAACAAATAAAATGAATTATGAAGTTTTTCTAAACAAAACTATCCTAAAAAAAAGGATAGTTGAAACAAAAACAACACACTGAAGATTTTTAACATCCAATTTTTCAAATAGAAAAATGATAAATCACGTAAATGGAAATTATTGAGTTTGTTTAACTTTTTAACTGCTTTAATAATTGCAATGTGTCTATTTACATATTTTTAACATCAGGATTTCCCCCAGTGTACTATAAGCCTGGCGGGCCACCAGGCTTTACTTGTGCCCCCACGAGGCTAAGCATCGCTCATTTATTTACATTTTTTTTTAATGTTTGCATTTTTAAGACTTTAAAGTTGGTGTTCAGGTATTAATCTTCCAATAACGCATAATTATCAGGTGATATTTTAAAGTTTCCTGTCAACTTTAAACAGTTTTTAACTCAAAAACACGGCGGGCCGCTGGATGAATGACCGCACTAGCACCCAACCACTGGGCTTAGCAAGTTTTCTGGGGGAACGTAGAACATATATTAAAAAACAATTTTAAAAAAATGACAGCTTTTATTTTGCCATGCGACACAATCAATTACATGCAGAGGAAACCCTGTATTTAGAGCTGAATCAATCTAAAGCTGACTCATTTTGTTTACTGTTACTGAACTCAACAAAAGCAAAATAAAATATATTTTTTAACTCCATGCAGTGATTTATTTACTTTATAATAGAATGTGAACCATGTCTGACCAATTATATTCGAATCAAGAGGTAAAGAATAATAAAAAGCAACATATTTGTTCCTGCTGTGCAGATTCCCTTGTGTTGTGTTTACCTTTCTCCTGCACACATCTTTCAGTTCAGGGATGTAATTGCTCAGCTTGTTGCTCTGGTAACACAGGGGACCAATGTGGCATTGCTCGAGTAGCCTGACATTTTCAGGACATGTCTGAAGGCTCCTTTCAAACGTGGGAGGTCTTGAAACAACCCAGCCACATTTACAGACAAAACAATACTTTTCACTTTTACTTTATACCTAACATTTAAGCAGCATTGCTTGGATTCCCATCCAAGTAACTATCAGGAAGAGATTGTCCACTATCGCAAGTGAATTTTGGTGAAAATGGCAGTGTGCACCCTTTAGATACAAACAACCCGAGCCAAGAAAATGCTTCATGCCACATGCCAGAGCCAGAACTGGCAGCCACCATGTTGGTTGGGTCATGCTTCGGGGGATTACAACCACCGAACTCTCAGCTGCCAGCATTACAACACAGATGGACAACATGCTCCAGGATGGAGGAACGAACTGGTCAAGAGGGACTGTGTTGGGTCAAATGACAAAAACCAAAAATTTAAAAAGTAAATTGTGATAGTGATTATGGCTGAAAAAGCCTTTTCCTATGGCAAAACAATTAGCATAGATGCTTAATAAAATAACAGAATAGATACAAAGAAAACAAGCAACATGCAATAACATGGTTTTGTTTACATACTTATTGAAGGAAAACATTAAACCAACATGTAATTTATTGAAATTACATAAGCATACAGTGACATTAAATTATATTTTATTACATCTGGGAATTTTTTTTGATAAAGTAACTCCTTCCTTTTCTATGCAGGAAACCAAAGAACATTTGGGAGGGAAGCAGAATCACATGTCTTGACCCACAAGCTGGGAGTTTTCTAAAACGTCACAGATAATGTCTGCTACCACAGCGGTTCCGGTCTTTTAGATGTTTTAGAAAACAAAGTGTTTTCTAAAACGTCACAGATAATGTCTGCTACCACAGTGGTTCCGGTCTTTTAGATGTTTTAGAAAACAAAATGTTTTCTAAAACATCATAGATAATGTCTGTCTACCACAGTGGAACCCAAAGTCGGTCCTGGAGGCCCGGCATCCTGCATGTTTTAGTTCTCTCCCTGGTTTAACGCACCTGGATCCAATGATGGCTTGTTAGAAGGTCTAAAAAGAACATTGGCAAGCTGAAAACGTTGAGGGAGAGAACTAAAACATGCAGGATGCCGGCCCTCCAGGACTGACTTTGGGCATCCCTGGTCTACCATTTTAATCTCCATGGCAACCAACTGTTGTCCTGAACAATGCATGATGGTAGTTCCCCCTACTTTCATTGCCATTTTATTGGGTTATAAATCAAACATACCAAACAGCATCAGCATATCTTGTAGCAGACACTTTGTCTGCATGAAAGGATGTTGGCTTCAAATCTTCCAAGAACCGTC